TGGTGCTCGTGTCACAAATGGTCTCCGTTGAGTATGCTTCGGCAGCTTGTTCCTGGGTTCGATTGAATCTCTTTTCTGTACTTTTTCCCGTACGTGACATTTCACCGCGATGCACATCCTGTCGGCGGGGTCAGCATGTCAGCACCGAATGTAGCTGCAGCAGTAGGCAGACATCATAGTGTTTGGTATTGTATGTGTAAGGAACGAAAAAGCAAAATAACTCGTACGCCACGACCACTTCCTACCGCCGTCCTACTGTTTCAGGGGTACCACCGGTATCTCAAAACCCTCTTGGCGTACTTCTGCGCATCTCCGGAGGTGTGCCACACGGTCTTGATGGAGTTCAACCACCGTTGGAACATCAGCAGGACAGTCGAGAACCGCGGCATGTCAGCGGAGATTGGGCGTTTCAGCCACCAGTACATGATCGACCACATTCAGCGTGTCACTGCTGAGTGGTACCCTGATCAGCCTCTCTTCTCCGGGTGGGTTGCTCCGGCGGACTTCGAAGACAGCGGCGAGAGGACAAACTTGGCAGCCAGCGTACTGACGTTCGATGGCAAGCCGGCGGGGGCGGACATCGAGGACAGCTTCAGCCCAGAGCCTTCCGACCGGGGTGCCACCAGCACCGACATGAACGGCAGCGTTCACCACAGACTGCATGCCGTCCAGCTGCTTCCCTCCGCTCGACACCTGGCGTCTCTGATGCGCTTCTCGACCCCGGTTACGCCGGTCAGCACGCCTGCAGAAAAAGAGAAGTTTCGAAATGAGATCTTCCAGTACTTCCGACCAGGTGGCGGTTCATCGTCTCGTGACCATCAGAGGATTGACTTCTCCAAAATGGTGGTGGACTGGAACCGATGGTGCCAGCGCATCGAGTCGGGCCAGGAAGAATATGCGCCCATTAACAGGAAGACGACGGGCCACCTCCAGAACTACTACGAACGATTCACGAGTCGGACGAACTTCTTCAACACCCTTGGGCCCGTTCACGGACCGATTGGACGGCTCACGGCGTCGCTGAGGCAACCCGATGATGCCGTCGGGTCCATCCGCTCGCCGCAAATGCCTGCCCCCAACCGCGGTGTCGGCGGACTACTGACTGCTTCCGCCGCGGTCGCGGACGCCGCGATGGCGGCGATGAGGGCGGCGGCAAGGGAGGGGGGGGCAGGCAGCGGTCAGGGCGTGGTTGTAGGGGGCTCCTCCGAGGAAGGAGGTGACCCGGTAGAGAGGTCGCCGATCTCGGCTGGGTCTGGGTCTGGGGCGGCGGGGGCGGCGGGGGCGGCGCGGGCGGCTTTGCCGCAGTTCAGGGCCTGCACCGAATGCGGACACCACAAGGGTGCATATCGTGCTGAACACCCTGGGAATCGCCGTGGACATAAGGCGAAAGGTTCAGCGCCCCAGCCCGACGTTGAACCGGCGAAAAAATGTTCAGTGGACCAGAGCTTGCGGCGTCCAGAGTCGGACAAAGTCTGGAACCCGAAGCAAAGAAAGCGGACGTTTTTGCCCTGCCCGTGCGATGTATGCAAGGGCTCATACGCACACGTGGAGGATGGCGTTGGTTAGCCTGTACTGCCGGGTCGAGAAGAGCTGGACACATAACGAAAAATGTAAATATTTGCCTACCGGTTCAAAAGGTCGGTCGGTCAGTGAAAAGTGCACACTTGTATGGCAGTCGCCCAGAATTTTGGATTGTCAAGGAAATTACAAATGGCCCACGATTAAAGCAGCAGATACCGCACAACGGCTGCCCAGGCGATGTGTGTTAGTGTGTGGTGCTTTTTTTTTTTTCCGGCACCATTTGCTGTCTTTCAACAACGATATTGAGTTGGACGGTGTGCTAGATGTGCCTGAGAATGCAGTGCAAGAAACCGTTTCGAAATCGGCTCACAGTTCGAGGAGAAAGGCCTACAAACAGCAGTGGATCAGCGGTGTGTCTAAAAAAACAAAAAAATACAGCCCGAACTCTGTGCAAACGCCTCTGATTTTTTTTTCGCGCTTCGCGCGAAAAATTATATATTACGTCCCCGCCTAGCCCTACCTATGGGCCCTGAGCCCAACAGCAGTGGTCAGTTTCAGCGAGAGCATGGTGCGCCTGCCGGAGCTTCGTGCGGTTTTGACCGTGCTCACGTTGGCGCTTGCCGCGCTTCATCATCAACAGCAGCTGTTGATGGGCGCGTTGCGGCGGCGGTTGCGCCAGGAGGATGGTGAAGATGAGGATGAACCTTAAAAATACAGCCCGAACTCTGTGCAAACGCCTCTGATTTTTTTTTCGCGATATATATTACGTCCCCGCCTAGCCCTACCTATGGGCCCTGAGCCGACTTTTTGTGTCCTTAAAGCGGGAAGTGTCTTCAAAAATCGTGTCACTAAAACGGGGACGACTGTTGCTATCCAGTGGCGGTACAGCAGTTATTGTCGACCTACAGTAGTTATGCACGGAAAACCATGAAAGCAACCCAAAACGCACGCGCACTCAAAGTAGTAGCAGCCATGGAAAACATATGGAGGTTTCTGCTGTTATTGCTAGGGAATCTGTATTTAACCCGGAGAGTAGCGTAGGCTTCCCCATCACGCTCCGTCACAGGGTCCCAGATCGTGGCCGTTGGATCACTTCGTGTTTTCCGCCGCACTGAGACTCATGTCTCTTCATTGGTCGGCCGGTTGGCGCGGTCGATGCTACTAAAAAAGGCACACACGGTTGCGTACGGGTAGCCTACATCTGGACTACGTGCACATTACAGCATACACCGCCACGTACCCACAGCAGTATTAGCGTGGTGGCATTCGACAATCAATCACAAGTCTCGGAACCCTTTGCGCATCAAATTGACCGAAGTGGTCTGCCCCCAGCATCTCACGAGGGGGTCAGCACACCTCTGCTTGCCGTGAATAGCGCGCCGGCAAGATTGTTTTTTGTTTGGCCTCACTAAAAAAATCCGCGTGCACAGCATCTGTGTCGTTTACCCGAACCCGTGATCACACAGAAGGGTTCCTCTCCCTGAGGCCCCAACACACAGCAGACCAACCCGACCGACAGGTTTCCCTCCTGTTTCTCTTCGGTACTTCTGTAGCACACATACATTGTACGCCAGGTGCTGTAAGCCCTTGAAGCTAGGCACACGCCCGCGCCGAACGTATCATACATGAGCGCCATACACCTGCTGCTGCTGACGTTCCTTCCCCGCTGCACTCCTGTTGTACAAACATCACGAGAGCTTTCATGCGCATGTGCTGGCATGTGGCATGTGGGCATCCGTTCAAAAGACTGCCTGAGTTTTTTTTTTTCCCATCAGATTTTCTTCTCGCGCCGCCAGCCTGCCGCCGCGCTTGGCTATCCAAACTGTAGAAGGGCTGGGACCTAGGACAGTGCTACTCCTCACTTCTGCTTTTGGCGGGGTATGTGTGTGGTGGTTGGTGTGTTACGTAGGTGTCTGAAATGATGTGCGCACGGGACTGTGACGTCGGCGGACCGAAAAATGCGGCGAGATTGGAAGTGAGCCGGGACGGAGAGCCTGTTTGGTCCAGCCTGCAGGTTGGGGTTTCAGGTACTCCAGAGCAGAGAGAGTGTCCAGCGTCTCGAGCGTCCAGCGTCCGGTTTGTGCCATCCATCTCTCCCGGCCGTCCCGACCCAGGAGCCAAGATTTGCCTCTCTTGGTACGACCCGCCCGCTCGCCCCTGCAGTTTCGACTGAGTGTTGACTGCCTTGTAGGAAACTATCTGCTGCACACGTTAAAAGGCGGAGAGGTGGCACCCCGCTAGACCGCGTTAAAAACATCGATTGCTCCACCACCCAAGTGGGCGCGGCAAGAGCCCGATGCGTCTACGGAAAGACCTCATCTGTTTCCAGAACCACCAGTAATGGTAGTCCCAACAGGCTTGGTTGTGGAGCAATCGAGCTTATGTGCTTGTACTACTGCTGCAGGGGGGGGCGATCCCATTTCTCTGCCTGTTACGGAACACAGAGTTTTGGGTATCTCGGTTTCTCCGTCACCAAACGACTTGTGCTTGACGGCGGAGATGACCTTCCGTCGAACGCGCGTGCCCACCAACCAGCAGGAGAGGAGCAGTAAATCGCGCCCAATCTACGATGCGGGTCGAGTCGTCGCTCCGCACGTGACCGCGCTTCGAGAGGGGGGGGGGCGTTCGAGGAGTCGGCGAGGAGTTGAGGCACCAGAAGAAGGGCACGAGTCTCCTTCCCGAGCAAGAGGGACAAAGGCCGGTGGCGTAATTAGGAGGTGGGGCTACAAGTACTAGAAGAGTGTTTTGATCCAGAGTCGGTCCTTCGGGCGGAGGGCATGATGGCTTGCCTCTGCAGTACATGCCTCTCTGGTTGGGGCCGGCCAGCTTGGTTTTGGAAGACGACGCTGTTCCAAACGATGATGCTTTGTCCTGAGACTTAACCCTCCTACAACAGTACTGGAAAAGCCTATATGGGGCACTTTGGCGACACAACACTCGAATGCCTGTTTACTGCACCGTGGTCGCCACCATGCTCCGCTGCGTGAAACGTGCGTGGGAAACCTTGGTCTATCATGCTTGTGTTGGTGGTACGCCGTGGAATACCCTCCTGTGTGATGCCTGTGTGCCTCTTCTGGGCCTCTGACTTGCTGTACACAATCTCCCGAAGCCGCGGGTCCTCTTGGTAAAACTGCACACAACCTATTGCTGGAAAAAAATGCTGACTTGGCTTCGGTATCGAAAGTGGCCCCAGTGCATTTGGGGACGCTTTCCATATTGAACCCAAGTCAGCCTTCGGCCTTCGGGACTGTACAACCTCGCCCAATTGATCTAAGTTGGAAGCGACGCGCTGCAAAACTCGTTGTTAGTAAACTGATCGACTTCATTGTCGACATCGACTTAACCGTCGCGAGGGAAGGGATTGCTGAACCCTTCTCGCGATACGAATGTATCAGGCAGGCACCGCAGGAGTTAGGTGGGAACAAAAGAAGATAAAAAGAGGAAAAAAACCCGGCGTGTGTACCCCCTCCTGTATGACCGCGGACGGTGCGTCTAGCTAGTTGTAGAGTACCAAGTTTGCTGAGAAGTGTAAGTGCACAAACGCGGAAAAACGTGCAGTGTGCACCGAAGAGGAGAAAGCAAGCGGCGCCAGAGATGAGGACGAAAAAAAGAAAAAAATCGCCCAATGAGCGGACTCGATTCTTTCTGGACACATGACCTCTAGCTAACTGGGTACGAGAAGGGTTCAGACGTTTTTTTGCGGCGGAATTGAGACAGAGGCAGAGGTGTGGAGTTCGTATCGCCACAACTTCTACTGCTGTACAGCCATGCTCTGCTAGGGGAGGCGCACAAAAGGGTTGTCACGAAAAAAAAAAAATGTCGTCGTGTTCGCGTGGAATTTTTAGGCAGAGATGGTTATTTATCAGCTTCTGTACCCGACGCATATTGTAGATGTATAATGTTGGAGACAACTGCTCGTACCGTGCCGTATCGGTACCGTACCGTACCGTGCCGTTGTCCGCCACCACGGTTCCGTGCAACCGGACACCCGTACCCGTCGCGGTGGAAGTAGGCGAGGGCAGGGTCTTGTAGCACCATATAATACTTCGTATATCGAGACAGTGGCCCGAGGGCTGGCTGTCGTTATTTCAGTTGTCGCCCGCAACTCACCAGAAATCAGGCGGAGGCAGGTGTTTTACTGCCTACGGCAGTCTTGACTTCGATACAAGCGGGTGCCTTATGATAGAGGGCTCCTAGAGATTGGGCCGAAATTGGTTGTCACCGACGGCCCCCGATGTTAGGAAATGCTCCGAAATGAAAGTGTCCTGGGCCTTGGTCACACCACACTCTTATGTCAACGCCACGACTGCTGACTCTCAAGACGGAGCCACGACTGCTGTAGTGGGGAAAACAAGCCTTCCGCAAAATATTGTTGCTGCATTTTTTTCCCCCGCAACGTACCCTGCTCGAGCGTCGTACTACTTTGCCGTGGCCACGGCAATTGAGCAAAGCCTTGCCGTAACACCCGTTTTTCTTGAGAATTTTTTCCTGGGGACGTTTGTTTTTTTCCATTTCGGAATGCCGCCCCAAGGTGTTTTAAACGGGAATGGGGTCGTGTCCCCCGGGTGTTTTTTGTCGATTATTTGCTCGAGGCACGACTTGGATAATAATTGAAGTGCACCAAAAGCCGTTTGACACACGGATGTTCCGTGCTTTTGGGTCGAGATCGATGATATGGTGGGCCCGTCTTATTTTTTCGTTTGTTGATTTAGAAGTGTGGATGTACCTCATCGTGGAATACACATCAATTAGTCTGGGACCACAGGAGAAAGGCAGGTGTCCACGTCATTTGGACCAGTACGCGGGTGTTACAAGGGTACTGAGCAGAGGCCGAGACTGGTTTAATATGAATACAACATAACAACAGTGAAGACCATACAACAACAACGCGAGACTCTCGCCCTGCCAACCACGAGTGTATGCTGCGGATTGCGTAGCTCGATATCCGTTGGTTTCGGTTCCGTTTTATTCTACGGCGGTCCTGTCTGACCATGGACTCTTCTCGAGGTGGTCTCTCTTGTGCTCTCTGTATAATACAAGCCAGAAAATTTGAAAGCAACCAATAGTGGGTCGTTATCGCGAGACTTAGTATATTGAGGGCATGGAATAGGGAGGGGGGACGCAGACCCTAATCCCTATTCCCTAACCCTAACTCAACTCCCCAGATTGCATGCTTTATCCGACATGTTTACAAAATACGAAACCCCTGCGAAGGCTACTGAAAGTAGCAACGAAGGGTTCAGAAGAAGATTTTCGCTTGAGTGGGTGCTGAGACATGCGGTGCGGTACGGGATACTTTTGTTGCTCACCTGCACACTTTGTGACGGCGATGTTGGCAGCGCCAAGAGTACTGACGTGGTGCTTGAGTCGGTAGAGCGAGAGGGCGTACGTTTCGATGAACAACGTCGACGACGACATCAGCAACAACAGCAACAACCGTGCCAGCAGCACCACTTCGGCAGCAGCAACAGCTACAACAGCAGTTTCAGCCGGCACAAAATACATGATTTGTCTGTGAGTACACCGGGGGCAGTGTAATAATGTTGACAAAGAACTCCCCGTCGCCCGTGGGCTAGCTCGACGTGTTGTGTGCCCCCGAAGATATACTGGGGGATTCTCAGCGACCCACGCGCTCTTCCGGCAAGTGCCAATGTGGTAGGGTGCTATGGACGCTGTGCGTTGGAATCTTGCTCATGTTCCGCGGTATGGTCTTTGTTTCTGGACTTGCCTGGGCGGAGGCCCTTTCTTGCCTGTGGGCCCCAACCCTTGTCCATTTCGCCCGGCGCCATCTAAACTAGCCTTACGGAGAATTTGTGTACACGGAGTGTGTTCAAAATTTGCTCCGGCTCTCGCGTTTTTTTTTTTTTTCCTGCTTGTCTATGGATAGGCTCTAGCACATTTCGCAACGGAAGACAGGTGCCTCAAGGAGGGGAAGAGGGTGCTATCTCGGGCTGTGTAGAAGATGTCCGACAACGAGGCGATTACAACGGATAAAGCGAGCGCGTTAGTACGGCCGCACAGCGTCCGCGTCAAGACGGGGGGTGTGGGACCTAGAAACCGCGACAGGCGGTCTGCACGCGCCTTCCTTTTGGTGGCAGCGGCGGTGACGGCGGCGCTGGTGTCCGTGCTGGTTGTCGGCCTCCTGGCGAGGTTGTTCCCGGTAGGTATTGTTCGTCATCTTTCACACTGCAGTCGAAATCATCGACGCGCACGATATATGTGCTAAGTAGGCTTGGGTGGTACACGACGACGACCGCCCCCGGGCCAAATTCTGCTCCAACGCCTCAGTACCGTAGCAGGGGTCCCGGTACAACCGCCGGTTGAACAGTGCCGGTTGCCCTGCCGTGTAATACCCTTGGAATCGCGTGACACAGATGGAATATGTGTTCGGGTTATTTGGTACACGGAGCATTGGCGGTTGCCCGCTAGAATGTCGTTTCAGGGGTTTGGCACCTACGGGCATTTTAGCGGGACCACTACCCTGTGTTTTTGTTTTCAGGAAATCCGCCACGGGTATTGTATTGCCCTCTGTATCTGAGACCGAATGTGTCACAGCCGCTCACGGTACGCTTGCTTATTCGGTTATGCTCGTTGCTCTTGTAGAAAGCCGTGTCCGGATCGCGCAGGGGACCGTTGGGTCACCGGCTTGTCAAGGTTAGGGTTAGGGTTGGGGCGTACGGCAAGCGTACGGGACATCGATCGATCTCATCGGTCTGGAGACCACTCTGTTGATCTGGTTTTGTGCGATAAGACAGACCACTTTCACCCACGACCCCGATGTGCCGGATACGATGTATCAAACCACGAAACGCAACCTTATTATTTTCTCTCTCCGCACACCGAAACTTGGCGAGCTCGACCCTTACACAGCACAAGACCTTAGGTTGGATGTGTACAGCTCTAGGTGTCCGCCAGTGAGCAGAGGCGGGTTTCGAAGAGGCCGATTTCCGGCTGCTGCCGACAACATTTTTGTCGCACCCTTCTTGGGATACGGCCTGGCGAGGCGCTTCTCTATCGCCTTTTCGAAGCATCCACCGTGCCCACTGCGAATCGTATATGAAGTCAGCGCACCCCCCCTCCGAGTCCCCCTCTGGCACTGTACAAGACCGATTGGCACGAGATTGGTAGGCCGTCCCGTGTCGGAGTACCGCCCCGCAACTCCCCCCGCTTCATACCTTCTTGCCGAGCGCACATCTGTTCGAACATGGCGAGGCACGCGTTAACGTGCCCGGCTCCGTGAAATATCGTACTCTTGACACCGTGGCTTGTTTGTTTGTCTCTCTCACTCTCCGCCTCCACCTCCGTCTCCCTCTGGTTGTATATCACTCTGCCTGTCGGCCAACCTCCTCTCCTCCCTCTCTCTCCCTCTCTCTCTCTCGCTCTCTCTCTCCCGCTCTCTCTCTCTCTCTCTCTCTCTCTCTCTCTCTCTCTCTCTCTCTCTCTC